CAGTACTGCCAGGTTATATAACAGTGGAAAATGCCCACAAGTCAGATATTGGGAGAAACTCATATTAGAAAAATTTGGGTTTAGGAGGATAATCTAAGGCTCATAAGGAAAAATAAAAAAAAGAATCATTTTTGAGTATCACTCTTTGACATAAACACCTATGTTTTACCTATAGAAACTTAAGGGAATACATGGACTTTGCCATTCTTAATCTTAATGGGAGAGCTTCCAAGTACCCTTTCTTTTCAGAAAGGAGGTCTGATTCTCCAGGCCTGCCATTTATGCCTGTGCAAAGTTGATACATTTCTATAATAGCAAAAGCATTCCTTTTACATTTAGTCTGGATAGACAGATATAAATGATACAATCGGTCAAGGCAGTTGTGGCTCAAGACTTTAAAAAGAACTCAGTACCCAATGTACCATACAAGACTCAGTCAACCATGGATAGAGCATGTAATATATCTCTGGTTTAGGTTGAATTCAAAGTCTGTATTTAAAAACCAGCAGTTGTTTTCATTGTAACTACCTTCAAATTCCAAAATATTTAGTCAAAACTAACATAAAAAACTACAAAGGGCTAGGATTCTTACAGTCAAAGAGATATTGTAGTGAAGAAGAGGTGATGTGTGGTGCCTGCATGTCCCATTTACTCTGCATTAAAAACTGTAGTATTTAATGACCTTAATAGCAATAAAATCCTTGACTTAGGTATGGCTAATATTTCACTATGTGATTTTAAGTGGTAGCCTCTGTAATCTTCTGCATTTTTAAGAAATATGTGCACAAATTGCTTTATTTCTATAGATCATGAGTTTATGTGTTCCTTTGCTAAAGACTCTCTGAGGCATGATTCTACTAGAAGGTGGTATATTTGAACAAGGAACTTGAATGTCACATTTGAACACAAGATAAGGTCGAACTTAAATTATAATTTTTTAGTACTTTTTTTCTCTATCTTTGTAGATTGTGTATATGATGGCTGGGATCACTGGAGCCCCTGTTACAACCCAGTAAAATGGGAGTATTTTTATTTTCTTTTTTTTTCCTGGTTTAAAAGGAGCACACAACTCCTTTGTTATGGGAAGGATTTTATCCAGAATTACTAATGAGAACATGTGAATTTCTTGCAAGCAAACCTGCAAAAGTCAATAGGAGCAGGAATCATCACTATTCAGGGCTGAAAAAACCTGCCAATCATCTGATTAATGGTATCTTACGTGCATGAAATATTTCTACTTGTAGTAGAAAGATCTGGTCTCTGTAAGCAGCAAAAGCTGTGTCTAAACTGAGCTTGTCAATCACAGAGCCCGAGTCTCTCAACTGTCCAGCCGCACTATTTATTTCATTTTTGTAATCTGTAATACAATACTACAAAACAGAAATGAGAGAGTATTAATATGTGCTTAGGTGTTAATTTTAAAAAGAGTTAGGGTGAGTGAGCCAAGATGAATGAGATCCTGGGATTCTTTGAGAGTTCTTAGGAGTCCTCAGCCTCCTTCGGCACCAGAATTTACTGGGAGATGTGATCCACAACTTTCTGTACAGGGCTATGATTGATACCTTCCTCTAACACTGATTTCACAGCTCAATGGCAGCCCAAACCCCCCACCTTTCAGTGTGGGAAGATTTTCCTTGTTCAAATGATGTTACTTTAGGGAGACTCTTACACATATGAAAAGCTGTCATAAATCTTCCCTCTTTTACTGCTTCTCATAAGGATTCTTGTCTCACATAAAGCAGATTATGTGACAGCAGGAAAGCAGCTGTCACTTGCTCCCAGATGATGCTGAGCTCTGTACCACCTGATCTCCTGTTGAGCTTGGACCTATATCCTACCTTTTGCTGCAACATTGCACACTGAAAATGCCCAGACATGTTGTGTTTGCCCATCTTACTCAACTTACTTCACTCTTACTCAGCTGATGAGTATTCAGGTCTGGCAGGAATGTGAAAAAATACGTCTTACGGAAACAAGTATTATAATTGAACTTATTATTTTGATTTAGCTTTTTCTCCCACCTGCATTATTTCATATTCATACAGGATATGACCAGATAATAAAAATGTCACATTGTACCAGGGTTCTATACAACATAAGAATATTACAAATAGTAACTCTCACAGTGAACCTGCAGCTTAATTCAGTCTTTACTTTCTGGAGGGTCAAGTATGAAAGTAGCAGGGAAATGCTGTAAGAAACGGTATCACAAAGTAGAACTTCCACAGGCTAATACTTAAAAAACGCAGTATTCAATCTGAAAGACTGTGAGGTTTCACAGTGTTGTTTAGGAATAAGACAAATAAGCTGTTTTATAATATTTACCTAAGTAATATTCCCCTAATAATACAAAGCACTTATTTTGGGCCAAGTTCTATAATGAACTTCAATTTTTTTTCGTGCTATTGTAATACAATTTGCATTCGCTAAACCAGACCAATATTTGTCCCATTCTAGGAAATGACAGACAGAGGAAAATGTCTTCCTTTCACATTTCTAGAACAGGCAACTATGGTGCATGATGAATGCTTACTTCCCTGTATCAATCAATCCTTGCAAACCAATTTGCTTACATTCTGAAGTGAGCTGCATTTACAAGGGGGGATCAATTCTTAAGAGGATTATGTCAAAATAAGATGTAGTCTAGTAACAAACAGCTTTGGAGGAGCAGCTCAGGATAACAAGTAACTGAGCAGTCTACTGTATCACTGGTTTTTGCCTACCACCCTCTTTCTCTCTCTTTTCTACTTAACAATTTGATACAATTAATTGTAGTAGCTTACACTTTACACAATTGTATATGAAGTTCTTTGCTGAAGAGATTTTTTTTCACAACACAAGAGTTACAGATTCTAAGCACTTTTACTTTTTGGTAGTAAATATGTTTGCATTTACAATTATTCTGCAAATTTTTCAAGCACATTAAACAACTAAACCAATGCAAGGAGGCCATATGATATTTTATAATAAGAAATTACACTATTCAAATAAAGTATAACTACTATATTCATGACAGAGTAACAGATTATGTCCACTTATTAAGCCTACCCTCATTTCCATTGTGCAGTCAGTGGGAATTTTGCTACTGACTGCTAAAGAAATTGGATCAGTCCTATAATGAATAAAGAACACAGATATCTGAGAAAACATGATTACATGTTTTCTGACATATTTTATGGTTTCATTTCTTTTAAAAATAAACTTTAATACCAGCAAACATTATAAAAGAAAAAACTATGGCTTAGCCAGTGGTCTGTATGTAGAACCAAAAACCTGGATTCATAAAAGGTTTTACCATATGTAAATTTTGAAGATCTTGTTTTATGTGATCCACTCTGATACTCAGCATGTAGCACTCATGTCAGACATTTAAAATGATATTTTATTTTTGGGAGGTATAAGATTGCCTGTAGAAAGCTCATTACATAACCATAACCTAAATTTTGTTATGAAATTCACCTTTATATTTTATCTTAATTATAGTAATTATAAAATATAATGATTTCTCATGAAAACCCTTTATTTTCTTATTGTTTAGTCTATTCTACTTCTATATTTAAGTTTCCTTTCTAGATCTACCGGTTAATGTTTTTTTCTGAATATTGATCTGAATTTCTGAATTGTTAGTCTCACATATTTTGACAATATTTCTGAAAAGCCTTTCTTACCTTTCTGATTAGAATTTTTATCTTCCTATATTTGATATTGCACTCCTCGGTTGTTTATTTGTAAAGTTTAATAAGACATCTGTCCTAGTTAGAACGGCTGGGACCAATTCATCACTGGATGGGTGTAACCCAAAACTGTGTATTCTATAGCCTTCCATGCCATTTCCCAAAAACTGTTGTCAGTAGAGGTCTGCGAGGTGGGAAGATGTTCCTGTACCTTTTTATGGAATTCCCTGCTCTGATACCCTTTTATGGAGCAGGGACTGAGCATCCTTATGCCCTTTTATGGAATTCCCTGCCCTGAGGGAGGGACTGAGCACTCCCGCCTGAACTGGGAGTTTCGGAACCTTTACCACCTCTCTCGTGGGATCCAGAGGAAGACTGCAGCTCACCGCTCTCAACCAGACTGAGACCACCACCCTCAACTGGACTGCAATCACCACTTTCTGACCAGACTGCAGCAGCTCTCCTACCAGCAGGTTTTTTCCCCTCTCCCTTTACTTTGGACTCGAGGGGGGGGGGGCAAGGTACACCACTTTTGTTCATACCCCAGGGTGCTGGGTTATACATTTGTGTTTTGCGGGTTAAAACCAATTGTCTGTCTGTATAATTGTACTTATTGTATTATTTTAATAAATTGTTATTCTGACTTATAATCTCTCTTTTGAGTTGAGTTCATTTCCCCTGCTGGTTAACTTTTAAACCAGCACAACATCATCTAAGATAAAGATGAGAGTAACAAATGTAGTTAAGCCAAGGAAAACTACTTTTCAAAATTTAGCCAAGATCTATATTAAAGTAATATACTAGTAGTTCAATATAAAAATATTTGGCTCTCTAATTTGCATTATAAAAATATCAGGATGAAATGATTAAAGGTTAAATTCAGCTGATGAACTGTAAAGATTTGCACCTAAAATAGACAACACAGAATCATTTGAAGAAACAGGCATCTTTAGAACACCTAAATACAAAGTAAAATGCCTCAAATTTCAGATAAGTGCTTAATTCTGTCCATTGTACATATAATCTAATCACTTGCAAATACATAAAAATTTGCATGATCAATATCTAAAATCAAAATGAAATTAGCACATAATTATCTGATTATATATGTTAGAGAAAACAAAGAATAAGAGGGCTGCTTATGAAAGCAAAAAAAACCTTCGAATTTTAGTTTATTTTTCTGTAGTGATTCTGATATTAATGTCTTAGCTTTTTAACTCTCTTACTCATCATGGAACTTAATAATTCTCTATACATCTCTGCCCAATGGAAAATTTTTTTTTTGGCTGACACCTTCTAGGATAGCCCTGGAGGGCAGTACACATGTTCTTGTCCAGCTGCTCTGGCTCCCTGGTAAACTGATAAGTAGAAGGATGACGGTAGATGATGATGCATGCTAAGACCTTCCTCTACTGATGGGCTTGCTGCTTCAACTGTCCCCTTGGCAAGTCTTTTTAAATTACTATCAATTAACTGAAAACAAGTAGGAGTTCAGTTATTTAGAAACTAATAAAGGAAAACATAGTGTCACTCCTTTGAGAGCAATCAATTGATGTGTGCTCCATATAGCACCACCCTTTTTCATAGCAGCCTGTGCATATAGCCAGTTTCTCTAAGGACCAGCTTAGAAATGTCATAAAACTTGGGATTTATTTCTAGTTAAATTAAGACAAATGCAACTAAAAGTCATTTTTATGTATCAGTGACTTATTTCACCATGTTTACAATTAAGATATCAACTCTTCAGAAAAAAAAATCCCTCTAAAGGTTTCATCAGAGTGACATTCTATTCCAGAGAGAAATCAGCAATTAGATTCTCAGAAATAAGAAGAGAATTCATGTGAATTAGCATTAAACAAAAATTAGGTCTGACTTAAAGGAGAAATCCATCAACTCTGAGGCAGAAGTGCACTATAATGTCACCAAAAATAGCAACTTCAGCAAGACACTATCTCTGTCCTTAAGTATTATGGCCTACGTACCCATGTAAGGACACTTGCCATCACCACCAGAGATCACCAGATGTTTGTGCTGCATCTCAGTGATTTTTGCAAGACAGCATGAAAATGCCATCATTCATCAGAATGCCCATGACTAAATTAAGTGTTTTTTCTATGTAAGGGATGCTATGAGGACGCTATTATAGAGGAAAGTAGTTCATGAGGTTTCATCTAGTGACCTGAATTGTGGACAATTTCAAAATTCAAGGCATAAAGTTCAAGGTAAATTTCAGTACTTTGAAAGTAAAAGAAGCTACCTCCATGAACTCAGATTGTACACACTTGGGAAAGGAATCCAGAAAATTTAGCAGCATATTAGTATCCTGGCTTATTAAGCATTTTTCATTTTGCTAGTCCACAAATGATTGAGATTCAATGAATTCAGTCAGTGGCTGAATCATCAGTTTAGCTACTAAAAGCTGATGAAGATCTTGATCTTGATGAGAGAATTGATGTATTAATTCTTAGTTTCTCTGGAAACAGAAGTTATATAAGTGACCTCCTTTAGTCGTGAGGTAGTTGGCTGTACTGTCACTAAGCCAGTCACAGATATGACAACATATTTTATTGATGCAAAGGAGGAGAAATTAATGAGTCAAATACATCTGTGTTAAAAACCCTGTGCTGCCTTAATAGTTAACAGAATAAATGAGATGGTATATTTCCAGGACATAATTAATCTTACCTAAACGTAGACGTTTAAAATATTTCAGATTAATTTTGCTTGATAAGTGTCCATTTCTCCCTTCTTAATCCGGAATAAAATTAGGAAGACTAACTTGTGTACAACACTGGTGCCTAAGGATACGTAACTGATCTGTAACATGATGAATAATTGATTTGATAATTTTTTATAAAAATCTTACAATTTCAAATTGTTTTGTTTCTGTCCCCTTAAAATAACAATAGAGCACTGAAGTTTCTATGAAGATGTGTCAATATAATACTGAAAAAAGTATTAAATATTTTACTTATCTTTGAGAAAAAAGCTCCACATTTGCCCACTTCGGATTATGTTCTGAAATGATGAAATATCTAATAAAATATAATTTCACTTTTTACTAGTATTTTGTTTTCCTGTTAGAGCTTTTAATATACCAAAAAATCTTCAACTGATTGACAGTTTTCCAAACAAATAGCTCTAAGTAATTTCTAAGAAATGTGTGGCTATCCAGTAACAACTTTCAAATTTCAGATTCACATTAGAGAAAGAAGAAACATACTTTACTTTCCAACTGAGCTTTCAGTAGTACATGATATTAGTCTAAAATAAATATTTTAGAGCTCCTTGCAAAGTCTAAGCACATACCCAAATTGAAAGCTTAGAATTTCTCTTGAGAAAATAGTTTTAAAACAATGTTGCAAGCACAACACATCTGGTGACAATCCTGAAGATTTAGATACCAAATGGATCTCTATCTCTTTATCAAGGTAGCAAAAAGTGGGTTCACACAATCCAAAATATCAGAATCATAGGATCATTAAGTTTGGAAAAGACTTCTAAGATTATAAACTCCAGTCATTAATCTAGCCTCCGTCATGTTCACCACTAAACCATGTCCTCAAGGGCTACATCTATGCAACATTTGAACACTTCCAGGGATGGTAATTCTACCACTTCCCTGGTCAGTTAATGCCTCACTACCCCTTCCGTGTAGAACTTTTTCCTAACATATAATCTAAACCTCCCCTGGAACAACTTGAGGCCATTTCCTCTCATCTTGTCACTTGTTACCTGGGAGAAGAGGCCAATCCCCACCTTGCTACAACCTCCATTCAGGTGTTGTAGAAAGTAATAAGGTCTCCTTTGAGACTCCTTTTCTCCAGGCTAAACCAGCCCAGATTCCTCAGCTGATCCCCATAAAACTCGTGCTCCAGACCCTTCACCAGCTCCATCACCCTTCTCTGCACTCACTCCAGCATCTCAATGTCTTTCTAGTGAGAGGCCCAAAACAGAACACAGGATTTGAGGTGTGGCCTCAACAGTGCTGAGTATGGAGGAACAATCACTGCCCTGGTCCTGCTGGCCACACTATTTCTGATACAGGCCAGGCCTTCTTGGTCACCTGGGCACACTACTGGCTCATTTTCAGCAGCTGTTCACCAGCATCCCCAGGTCCTTTTCTGCTGGGCAGTTTTCCAGCCACTCTGCCCCAAGCCTGTATGGGGTTGTTGCAACACAAGTATAGGACCCAGAACTTCAGTTTGTTGAACATGTATTTTATTGCTTTTTTTAAAGAATCAACTTGGTCTTCTTTATTTAATTTATGGAAATCTTTATTTCAATAACAGGAATCTCATTGTCACACTTCTAAGTTATTATAGTACATATGCAGTTGGCATAAGGAATCTCATACTTGAAAATATTTTATTAAGCAAATATAATTACTCATGCTCTGAATAAGAATAGTAAAGGTCTGTTATCATAGTAGTTTTACACATTATTTGTTTCTGAAACTATGTTTGGTAACAGAATAAATTTAAAAAGTTCTTATATTCAGACCAACTGCTGAATGAAGTCACTGTATGAAACTATATGAAACAAATGACATTGTATTATACACACTATTACCATGCTGATTTTGCCTTCAGAATGAGATTTCCTTGTGAATTTAGCATTAAAACTAGATTTATATTCATTTTTTCAGAGGAATATTGCTAGCAAACTTAAGTGGGGAGTGACTTATAAGACAATTTATGGGGTTTTTTTGTTTGTTTGCTTTTTTAAGAAACCTGCTTCCCATATTTATACACAAATTGTGTTAAAATATTAGAGATATCAGAAATAACCATCAAACATAAACAGACAAAAAAAGGTTTAGCAAAGCAATGTACCTGAGATTGAATCTTAAATGGGTGTATTTAAAAGGAACTCTTTTTTTGATGAAATGCTGATCAAGACTATTCAATTAAAGAGCAATATAAATTTGAATGGTTTCATTATAACTTGAATAATGCTGACATGAAAAATAAATACTTCTCACTTTTGATCCTGCATTCATTGCTAGTTGACATTAATCACGCTCGTTGTTTTTTTGTTTACCTGACTTGGAATGTGATCATGTAGCATTTGAACAAATAATGAATCCAGAACAGATTTAAAACTGGCATTCCTGCTAAACACTTACAGAATGTTTGATTATTTTATTGTGTTTAAATCTATTTTCTGCCTTAAAAACCTCAACAAAAATTTTAATTAAAAATTCATTATTAATAGTCCCCAAAAATATTCTTATAAATCCATACCTGATTTTATTGGACTAAAGTCTATTTACTGTAACAAATTTCATGCAATTCAACTCCCCCGGTATAGTTACCTTTATGTAGTTACATATGTTCCTGTATCCTGGACTTAGATTATATGAGGTTCCATTTTCATTTAGAGGTGGATGACATCAAAATGTCTCCAGCACAAGAGCTCCAACATTTAACTTCAGTTTTGCCCTACGTCATAAAAAGCTATGTCTTTTGTTTCCACATTCCCTATTGAGAAATTTGAACATCAACAGATCTCAATGCATTTTAACATATTAATTTTAAATTGTCTTTTTTAGTACTAAATGGTACTGGAAAACATCTAGAATTTCTAGCAGAAGTTTCATTAATATTCTTTGAATTAATATCACATATCCTTAGACATTTGCATTCTAGATATTTCTCTCTAAGGTTAGTATATGGTTTCTCTAAAATCAGTGGTAAGAAATAAATACTTCAGCTGATAGCATTACATGCATTTTAAACTTCCACTTAAGATGATATGAATCATACCTTAGACTTACCTGTTTATCTCCACTGACTATAGATGGAATATATGTAAATATATGTAAATGGGTATGGCAGAGATGTTTACACTGTTGACATTTGGATTCAGCCAGGTAGACCAGAATCACTTTGTCTCTCTGGACTTGACAAAGTTCTGTTTTGCACTTTTTCTCATGGTACGCCATACTTCTATGACCCTGAGAATGCACTCAGGTTACTCAGAGAAAAAGGAGATCAAGGAATCATAGGACATATAGTAAACACACCTTATCACTGGAAATTTAGAAAGCTCCCTTCGTGATACTTTTTTCACTCCTTTCCAGTGAATGGCAATTTCAAATGAAGGATGAAAAGGATCATCCCAATGACACAACTCTGATTAATCTCCCAGGAACCAGTTGGGTGAAGAGTTTTTCACAGTCCTGTATAAAAAATTGCAAGGTTTTAATCCACAGCATTAAAAATGCTATGGTAAAGCACTGTAATTCTCCTCCTGAGATGTAGCCTTTGGGAGACAGCAGCTGTAAACTTTCCTGCTCCAGAAAGTTTGATCAGTCAGTTGTCACTCTCTGTTCTTTGCAAACAACTGGAATTCTTTCTCCTAAGGCTTATATACTCATAGAACTGATCTCAAACCCTGAATAAATTAAAAAGTACTGTAAATGCAATACTAAAGATCGCAGTCTTAATGTATTAATTTTTATGTAGATTTTCTGGAGATACTCTACACACAATTAAGGAATTATGCAAAGAACCTTTTACTTCCATCTTTTATATCCCCAGGCCTATTTTTCTGTACATGGTGAAATTTCTTTTAATATTTTTATTACACACAAGCATAACCCACATTATATTGCAGAAACATTTTACTTTAAACTCAGATGAATGAATAACAAACATCTCCCTCACGGTGTTTCTACATCTCCCAGCAAATCAGGGGAGGATACAGTTCAAGCATGACTGCCAGTACATCTAATTCTTACCATGCAGATGAGCATTCTGATGCTATAATGTCTGTGTGATCATTTACAAATTATCTTCACAAGTTTGAAAGTTCCAAATACCAACTTTAAATCATTAGCTTAAAGCAGGCTAATCGACCAATAAATAAACAAATAAATCCTAGGGCACATCTTCTTCTTTGAAGTACATAATTTATCCGTACATAATGTCATACTGGTTTTGGACATAAAACTATAATCTTCAATAGCATATTAGTAAGAAATTAAACCATCCCTCTCTCAAGAAGTCAAACTATTTGGTATAATCTAATTGGTGTATTTTGAAAATCTGCTAAACGAGTTTCCATGTCCTTGTTATCTGTAGTTCTGATGCAGCAGAGTAACTGAGGATATCTAAGTTAGAAGAAACATAGCTTTCCGTCTCCAAAACAGCTTGCAAAATTCATTGCTCCAGAGAGAGCAGTGGGGACCCTCATTGCATGATGTTCTATTTGACAGGACGTCAAGGGATTCTTTGAAGAAACTGTCACGAAGCTGAGTTAACCTTCCAGATAAGCTGCAGAACAGTGTTTTGAAGATTTCACCAAAACTGAGGAATTTTGCAAAGCTTTTTGCTTTGAGAAAATTAAGTTTTTTGGTTTTGGGTTTTTTTTCCTGGTGCTGTAAATATCATAATGAAACTTCTAAACAATCCTGAGATGATTAGGTGGTATTTTAAGGCAGTCTGGGCACTCCAGTAGTATGAAAACTTTCCCCTGGTCTGGTTTACAAGCACAGTTTCATTTTGCTTTGGATCTCTTAACATTTTCACTCAAATCTCAATGTAGAATATTAAAATCAAAGTGGTCTGGGAAAATTGTACACAGAGAGGAAACAGCTTCTTTTGTGTAGAAAACAAATAGTATATTAACATTCACTATAAAATGTTCCATGTTTTTTTATACATATACTTTAGCACATATGTTTATTTTTTAAAATATGCAATTTACCACGTTGAAAGAAAGTTTTACTGTAGCTCCTGTATCAAGCAATTTTTCATATATATATAGCAGTTATCCTAGAGGTTTGGTTTTTTCTCTGATGACAAGAACATTTATTTGATATCTTAGTGTTTCAATGAACTCAAAGATACAGAAATTTTGCAAAAACTGTCTTCACATGCAATGTATTTTAAACTCATGCAATATTTAGAATTTTTTTGCTTTGGGTTTCTTTTTTTTCTCTTTCTATCCAGGCACATGTAACTTCATTATTTTCTACAGCAATTACTTCTTGAAGGTAAACTTCTCATTTCTCCCTGTACATTAATACATTTCACAGTAGTTACATGAAATTATAATACAACCACACTAACTTTACAGGCCTTTGGAATAATTTGACTTGTTTGGGTTTTTGTCCTTTCTTGAGAGATTTGCATTTAACCCAACAGTTTATGACACATGAAAAAACCAAGTCTTGAAGACCTTCTGAGGTGTGAAAAAATTGTTTGTAATTCTGTGGGTACATTGTTGAGTCATGTGCATCCATCAGTGCACCATAATGATTGTAATTCCATAACACAACATATCATGTACTTTGGGTTCACTTGCTCGTTCATGGAGCTAAGTGCTGCACCCTTTGTTTTTTTATCTATTATTTTGCATCCTTTCTTTTTATTTCCCTTTCCATTTTTCTTTCCTCTTCTCTTATTTGAAATCCCGACCTATTTAATTTTTTTAATTCCTCCAGAGACTACTATTAAATATTTTCCTACATCATAAAGAATCATGACCAGTTCTCTGCAAAGTAATTTTCTTGAATTTTACCATTTTAAACACACTTGAAAAGGCTTTAGTGTTCCCCATTTTTATGGCATTGAAATTATGAATGTGTTAGTACTGTCTTTCTCCATCCCCAAAGGAAGGGCTCCAGGTTTTGCCTTTAACTCTGACACTCTAATTGAGTGACTACACTGTTTGCTCTCTTTCTTTATGCTTTATGTTTTCTTCTTGCAGTATGAGAAAAATGATGCAGATTTTATCTAGAAATTGCTCATTGCCCTTCAGTGGTCACACAGTCACATGTGAGCATTATAAATAGACTTCAAGCCTACAGAGTTATTTCCCTGTTTTCTTTGCCAAACAATACCACATATTAATGTAATTACCTTCATCCTGGCCTACCTTAATAACTTATTGTTCAACAATGTGAAATGTCATGACCATTTACATCTTTCTTGAATTTAATAAATGAAAATCTGTTCTATCATGCTGTCTTGTGTTTGAGCTTTTAATGATTTTACTTTTTTATTTTTACAAGCTTTTACCACTAATGTAGAGCTGTAACCATGGACAATTCTAGATTCCAAATGATTACAGATTTTATATTTATTACAAATGTCATTCTTTGTACATTACTATTTCCTAATGGGTGGATAACAGCTCCATCCATTCATGCTGAAATGTCAGAGAGAATTACATTATTCAGAATTTTGTTTCCTTTATTTTAAGTGGGGGGGAGAACAACCTCATTTTCTATTTAATCCAAGAGAAGCTCTACCACCACTGACAAGAGACTGGCAGGTTTTTTGCATCCTTTAGAAATTATAATACCCAAATAAACATGACCATAGCACTTTTGTTTTCATGATGTACCTTAAGGAAAAAAAGAGATCTCAAAAGAAGGAGGAGAGATAGAACAAGATATATGGCAATAGCCATTAGGATAAATTGTCTGATAAGACAAGATATGAAACTACACAGAACATACCATAGATATCTTACTGGTGAAAATCCCCATATTAGAATAAAAAATCCCATTTGTTCTGTAACTAGCATAGTAAATGCAGTGGTTTTACTATGCTACAAACACAAATTGGTTGGAAATGTATTTTTAATTTTAAAATTTTATAAAAAATGAAGTATATGAAGAAAAATTTCTCAGAGAACAACTACTTTACCTGTGACTGATTCAACACACGGGATAAAAATATGAAGGGTGTGAGCCTGTCTCAACTCTTTTGAGCTCCTGGGTCCAATTCTACTGGTGCTTCAGAACTTTGGTAGGGTTTTTATATCACTAGAGAAAGAGTATAGAAAGACTGTACCATGAACTTTCTTACTCTTGAGATATGTCTTTTCACAGTGAAGAGATAAAACTATACTGCCTGGGAATGATATATATATGTCAGAAGAGAATTCACCGAAGACAGGAAATCCTCTGCCAGCAATTTTCAACTGGGTTATTGTTCATTTGTAGCAGCTGAGTGGCACAATGGGATCATAGCTGTATTTCAGATTCTGGCACAATAGTTCCCTGAGGTGTTTCCCTTACTGAAATAGCTGAACTGCTATACATTTTATATATTTCATGATCCATTATAACCCTAGAAACCAAAACAAAAATATACGGAATGATATTTTGTCTATAGATATTATTTATATTTCCTGTACATATAAATTGTTTTTACAAAATTTTCTGATTCTTTTTTACTTCATTTTTTATGCAAACTATGCTCTAAAAATAGCTCTTTGAATTCATACCATCTAGCTATAAATGTTCAAGTTTTTGAAGTCACAGTCCTAATATATAGATAAGAGACATGGTCTGGCATTATACCAGTTATATTTCTGGAAAGATTAGATTCCTACTACCGCCGTCCTCCCAGGCTTAAGGACTAATGGATATTTATGCTAGTGATCAACAAGATTGTAATGCTGTTCTTTTCTATTTTGAATATAGATTTACAGTGCTGGTTTGTCACTTCAACACACCAGCGTGGTAGAAACTCTCTACAGTGCACATTTTTCTTGGATTATTAATATTGACTCTCACAAACTAACATAGAGAAAAAAAAGGAAAACCAAACAGTGTTCAAAAAACAGAAAAATTATATGAAAGAACCTTTCATTTTTATTTCTTCCTAAAGCTGGTTGCTACAGTCCTGCAATGTATATCTCAGAAAAGTACATCTCGCTACCTAGTTTACAGATTAACAGGCTTGACCAAAAACTTTCTGATATTTAATTAAAACCAAAACAAAATCAAATCAAAAATAACCAACCAATCAACCAAACCAAAAAACTCCACATTTTTTTCCATTCATTACAGTGGTATGATAATGATTAAAACGTTGTAAGATTATCTGGGTATAATATATTCCTATTTTAAGACTATCTCAATATATTCACATTCCTTGAGGTACACATAAAACAGCTGCAAAGATGGGAAAACTTGTTTTACAGCAAAGTAAAGCATCTTATGAAATACTTTGGTTATTAAAAAGTGCAGCAATCATGATATTACTTTTACTTATTCCTATTCACAGATTTCTGTTTGCATTTCTAACAACTATCTTCCTTAAAGTAGAGATTTGGGTTTAGTTATGATCTATGGCAGCATAAGGGAAAAAACTGCCAGAAGTGATTTTAATCCATTAAAAGAAGCTTTATAAAATGATGAAATCACAAATTACAGATGCCTTCTGCCAAGTATGACTTTTTTCTTATAATTAAATCCTAACATAGAGTTGTCCTTCTGTTATTTACTAAAAAGTCTAACTTTTATTTGTTTACTTTGCAGAATAGTTTTGCTAATTACTATTTAAAGCTGTTAGGAGGTATCAAATTAAGGCAATAAGTATTTTATGAGTAACATGCTATTCTAAAAAAGAAAACAGAAAGAGAGAAACTTTTTTAGAATGTAGTTCTAATCTGCTGTAAGTTGCTAACCTCCTTCTGTCTTGCTAAGCACCCTCAGCTGCACCTGAAGTCAATGGGAGCTGTAAGTGCTCATGACCTTTTTAGCATCCTAGCCCTGAGCACCTGGTACTTTTGTGCATCGTATTTGTCTAGGGCTTAAAAGAAGCATCTGGAAGCTGTTTAGAAGAAAGGCACTGGGAATTTAATCCCCTAAGGTACCTTTCTGTGTGTATCCTGCTTGCCACCAGCTGATTCTGTGATGCTTCTATTAAAGCCGAAGGGAAACTGATAACAAGTTCAGAAGCAAATGACTCCACTAGCAGGATTTTCCCATGAGGCAGGTAACACAGTTAATGTCAGAGATGTGAAAGAGGTCTCACCTTACTGCTCGAGAGCTATGCAAAGCAGTTCACTGAGAACTACTGCTCATCCTTTCACCTTGAGAGATGATTGTTGGGAAGGTTCACTTGGGGTGACAACCACTAGAAATCTCTCCTGTCGTATGGTAAACATATACCCAGTGACTTATTGGGGAACAGAAGAAAAATTAGGAAAAGCCTAGAGGCTGTCTGCTAATAGTAAAACAATTCATGTGGTCTGCAGCTTACTTTCTCTCACTTGTCTGAGGACAGGGAAATAACCATCCCAGAGAACCCTACACTACTTTATCAACAGAAGCTTATTTAAAACTATTCCTCTATAAGAAAAAAAAAATTGTATTTCCAATTGTACTACCTGTTAGTCTGAGGGAAATGTATTAACCCTACTGCCTTCAGGGAGACCTTAGATGAAACTAAACTAAGTAGCAAATTCTGCCACACAAAATTTCTGGAGCTGTCAGTATGGCTTTTGCTTACCAGTGTCACCTGGCTATAGCTCTTTAGTCAAAGTCACTATCCATTTTTTTAGAATTTTGTTCTAAGGTTTACTTGTATTTACCAACACAAGAATAGAAAACAAGTCCAATCATTAAGAGAGAGAATAAAAAAGAATGGACCAATCATGAAGAATTCTCATTTTGCATTTTCCGTTTTTCAGTCCTTAAAATTGCCTTAAAAAGCAATACCTTTTCTTATTAATGCTAATCAGAAAAGTACTTGTTTCAATAGAACATAGTGAGAAATTTTCCAGGCAGTTTTCTTAAGAGAAACCTGTATTTTCACTGTTTCTTTTATTGATGGAGGAGAAAAACCAGAAAGCTGTTATCTTACTAAAACAGGTGATTTCAATTAAAAAGGTCTGATGTATTTTTGAAGGACTAGAACCCAATAAAAATTCCATTCCTGTGTCTCTGGCTTATGGACATGATCTGGGAAAATGAGAAGTGAAATGATATTGAACCTGAGATACCTTACTGGGAAGAAATCTATTCTTTCATCTGAAAAAATTGCACTGTCACTGGAAAAATCAGTTCTCCATTTTTGTTTGTCATTAGGCCCAATGAGAACAAAAGCCTAGGTAAGAATTATGACATTCGTGAAAATAAATGGTGCCTCACAAGAAAAAAAAATGAGCTACAGATTTTTTTCTCTATGACTTTTCTATAAACCAACAGTTTTATATCATGTTAACCAGTATTTCCTTGTGATTACTGAGAAATAGTTCCTTCTTTAAATATTGGATAGATGCAGGTTTTATGTGATATTTGTAATTGTGTAATTGTTATGAAAATTATAAATTTATTTTACTGCTTTATGCTATTCTCTTATACATCCACCAAGTTTCACAATTTTATCTAGATCTTGTAATATTCTCAGTTTCAGAAAACTGAAAGGTGTGGCAAAATTTAACTTTTTCTAATTTTCTTTTGAATAACTTAATTACTGCTTGAGATAATGTAGTAGTTTTGAAATTCTGTGAATCTTCACTGAGCCTTCCTGTTCTCCACCCAGATATTTTGATGAGCTTTTACTATCCTTTTCAGTCATATGCAATGTGTTTTGTTCTTTTGAATTTGTTGCCAGACTGGAAAATGATACTCATTTAATTGGTGATATCAGTGGTATAAAGTCATGTTGCAGTTGTGTGAAATCAGGAATTTTACTAATTCTTCTTATAATTATATATTTATTTTATATCATGTTTAGAGAAGCAAGCAAACAACAAAGTGTGTGAAAGGGTAAATTACCATGAAATCACAGAGGTCGTACCTCAAAGAGGTAAAAAGTCTGTGCTGACTCTAAAATTTACTAAACTTATATCACTCAAGCAGTTAATTAGGATGAGTTCCAAAACAATAGAAGTATTTTCTCAAATAACAATAATGCAACAGTGGATGTGTCTTAGAAAACATTACACTGACAGGGACTAAATTGGTGTTGATTTTCATGGGAAAACAGATTAAAAATATGTAATAACTTATAAACTCATTATTGTACTTTTTAATTATTTTTTTCTTAGCTTCTAATGCCAGTGGTTAAAAGAGTTTTATAAAACATAATATCCTTGCTCTATGTTGGCACAGAGTTGGCCTTAAAGTATTCCACTAATTGGATGTAAATATCAGGAAGAAAACACTACTATTACTAACAATCACTCTTGGCTCAAAATCCAGGCCAGAAGCTTGAAAAAGTTTTCTAACAGTCATACCAGAAATTGGAGTTTAAAGTAGTATTTCTTAAGGACTACAGGGAATAAAACAGTATTAAAGCTAATATGACTGCCCCCCATAATAATTAAAACTATAAGTCCAAAAGTTACAGTATTTTTCTAGCACTATTTTTTGATTCCTAGAGCTCTAGCACATGTAGTATTTATGGATAAAATCGTTCAACAAGCAATGATTTAAAAGCAGGATATACTGTCTTTCAAAATATTAATGATATAATTCATAATTTCATAAATTTAATTGTAATATAAAAAAATTTAGGAATTATAGCAGTAAAATCCCCCATTCAGCGAGTCAAAATGGAAAGTATTTGCTTATTATATTTAATTTCTTTCATAGTTCTTTTGCTTTAACATTATATTAAGATAAGATTTTAATTAATTCTAAAGTTGATTAATTCAAGTCCCAGTACACAATAAGTGTTCCTTAAAATTTAAAGCAGATTTTAATTGTTGCTGCTTTGTTCTATAGGAACTTTTAGGTACCTGAACTTATATACTTGAAAGCAATGAGGGGTAATCATAATGGTATTCCTGTTCTTGTCTTTAAGTAGCTCTTGGTTAATTTAGACTACTCTGCAACACTGGGGTATAATGAATGAAAATGATATCCAAAAAGCACAGCACCATACAAGCTCATAAGGCTTTCATAAATAGCATAAGCAACTACTGCAGACTTAATTAATGGGCTGTGTATGCCTGGAATGACTAGCCTTTCACATTTTCTTTCTGTTAATTTTCTAATATGACATAAGAGGTGAAAATATATTACACATCTTATTACGACTGTTTTGCCTTTAGGGATAAAAAGACATTGCATGCATTTTGATCAAACTTATCAAGTAGAAATGAAAGACACTTGTGTGTAGCAAGAAAACTCTATTCCAAAACTAAGCAACCATTACAATTTCATGTATTTCCTTGTGTTTCTAGTCTTTAAGAGCAACCAGTGGTAGCAAAAGAAATGTCCTTCCTTCATTTTAAGTCAGCAAAAGACAGAGTATTCTAGTGGCTTAGTCTATAACTTGCTGAGCAGATAATCTAGTTTAATTATTTGCTGGGCTATGGATTTTCCGTTATCTGGTGTAAATTGACTAGACATTTAGGAGTAAATGCTTAATAATGCAGATTTTAGCCGTTGATAACTGCTTTGGGAATAAGATGCATGACAATTATCTAGTCTGTTCAGTGACACAGTTTCCCCAAGTTTTGGACATAAAAGGATGTTGCTCAGCTCAGCCCCTTTCCCAGCCTTGCTGTGTAGGAATGCACTCTGCAAAGTCTGCGTAATCCCCCACAGGCAATAAAAGCCTGCTCTACCTTCACTCAGAGATAACTAGAAGTGCAGCTAATTTTTGTATGCATAGTATTTAGGGTCCACAACAAGGAAGGATTTGCTAGCATCAGCTAAGTACTGCAGCAATTACTCTTAAGTAGTTGCTGGAGAGATTGGTGCACATGGCTATCTTATGTCTGCCCTCAAAAAGCATCCCATCAAATGTATGAGCCACAGTACTTCACAGTTTCGCAGCCCAAAAGCTTTTTTTTTCCTTTATCAGTCTATACACATACTGGTGTGTATATATAGATGTCTGTGTCTATATCTGTGACAAAATTCCAAAGCTTAAAACTCACCTGCAAACTTTACTCAAAGTGCACTGTTGAAATAAATTCAAATCCCTTCTTTCTTAGGATTAAAGTTGTTCATTGAAATACAGTACTATTGTTGTAAGTTCATTCATTTCAGCAGCAACTTATAATTATTACCTGGCAAATTCTCGGGCCAAGTATTTCCAGAATTTCTATCTCTTTTGCTAGAAAAGGAATTATCTTCTAATCTGAAATTTGTTCATTGCAGAGGAAAGTAGACTGGGAAAAGGACAACTCTATGTGACAGCAATTAGATTGGTAATTTCATTTGACATCAGTGTTGTGCCATCTACACAGTTGTTTGTGATCACTGATATATAGAATAAAGTACTTACGACTGTTCTGCAGTGCTTAATTGGTTTGTTTCACCACCTGGTTTATATCTGTCCTATTATGCTTTGCAGTATCGCACATTCTTTCAGCCTTTTTGTTTGCTATTACAAGCAGGCTACTGCATTTGTAAAATCCAGCAATTTAATAACTCAGTATGAATCAGACTATGACTCCATAGTCTCTTTTCAGAAGCTGTTGTAACACTTTCACTATTTTCTCAGGGGAGGTGGATGCTTTGGATTGTAATAATAGGATCAGAAAAGATGAGCACCTCAGTTTAAACCTGTATGAGTAGGCATTTCAGATCAGAATGAGTTTAATTTGATTTTTTTTTAATAGGTGCTTATATGAGAATAGGATTAATCTTTCTCAGGAAATACTTATCTCCAAAGAAAAAGATGTTTAATCAGCTTGTAAATGAGTAAATTATTACACTTATGCGTCAACTTCACCTGTTATGTCTCAATTGAAACTGAATTACAAATTTCTTGTACTCCTGTTCCCCAGATTGAACTTTATTAAACATTAGTATGGTACTAAAGGTGTAGCAACCTTTCAAAAACTGATTTGATGTGCATCACCATCTACCTAGATGTAATATTTTCTTCTAAAAACATCTCACTGATGGGAATATTCTTGGTTAGAATAAGTAAATAAGAATCAAAAATTTTCCTCTTTTCTGTGCAATCATCAGGCTTCCCTTGCCCTGACTGCTCAGCTATTCTATCAGATACCAGATATATTGACTAATTCTTAATCTTCAGGCTTATGTTCATATTTAGCATTTGCTTAAGATTTTAAATCTCTCAAAGGCTTTTCTGTTGTTTCTCCCCTTCCCTCTTTCCTAATAGGTGTAGTTTTCTCCTACAACCCTGCAAT